GTCAATATAAAGACTTCTCTCTCCTTCACCTACAGAAGCAGCTAAGAAATACAAGACCATGGTGAAGCAAATTATTGGCAGCATCTCTGCTCTCCCCAAATGCTGACCAGCACCCATGAAAGTGGCTCTTATTCCTGTGAGTGACTGGGGAAAATCATGAAGCGAATTACAGTCTGGAATAAAAGTTCACTGATTCTTCTGCTCTCAGGAGAGTGAGATGCAGATTGAGAAATTGTAATCTATAACATTTTACAGATAGTGATTATATAAATAGGTTGTGTTCTTCAAAAGTTCATTTGAATCCTCTAAAATTTTTAATACAACTTTTATGTATCCTTGATATATTAAACACTTTACTTGAAAAAAGCTTTCCTTCACTGTTTTTTCCTGTATCTTTTTTACTCTTGCTGAGGTTACATTACTTATAGTTAAGGGAACCTGGGATTCTCAAAATCTGGGTGGTACGTGACAATTCTCTTCCTTTGCATTGCTGATGTTTTCTCTATTTCTGCCTATGGAGGAACATAATTTGCCCTAAAGGTAACTAATAAAAATTTGGGTACATTTATATAAAAACCCTGTACTTTATTTAAAATGTAATGTTACAAGCATATTGGGTCACTGAATCGTAAAAACAGAGTAAGATTAGGCTAATATTCTCTCTTCTTTTCCATTCATCATTACCTGTAAAAACAAAGTATAAGGTATAAAATAAGCACCTTACAAAAACAAAGTTCAAAGATGGAAGCTTTTGGTCCCTCAGACCCATTGAAAAATTTTGAAGCGTATCATTTCACCATGATTTTTGTGCTAATATTATAAAATTTTGTGAAGTGAAATGAAGGATAATTTTTTTTTTAATATAAGCCTCCACCATCCCAAATCTCTGACACAAAAATATATAAATGCCAAACCCTTTTTTTTATGAGAAATTTAGAGGATTTGGTGGTTTAGTTTGGGTTTTTTTCTTCTTTTTTTTTTTCTTGGTTCACCTTCTGTAATTATTATTTGAGATTTTAAAGACAGAAGCTGAATTATTGGGAGGTTTATAGTCTTCCGTGCCACAAAGTTTTGCCAAATGCGCAAAAAACTAAAATGGCCAGCCAAAGCTTTGAAGGACTATTTCTTCAGTGCTTCCTGAGGCAGCATGGATTTTTTTTCACTAGTGTGTAAGTGATGGATTATCATATTTTGAAATCATACTTCACGTTTTGTACTGGGTTTGCATGGCAAGTTTTTGGTATTGGGGGAGTTATAGGATTGGCTTCTGTGAGAGGCTGCTAGAAGCTTCCCCGGTGTCTGGTAGAGCCAATGCCAGGCGTCTCCAAGGAAGACCCGCCCCTGCCCAAGGGCTAGCCCCTCAGCGCCCATCAGCAATGGTGGCAGTACCTCTGTGATAACGTATTTAAGAAGGAAAAACCCCTGCATAACAGCATTTTGCAGCAGGAGAGAGGGGTGAGAATATGTGAGAGAAACAACTGTGCAGACACCAAGGTCAGTGAAGGAGGTGCTCCAGGTGCTGGAGCAGAGATTCCTCTGCAGCCCCTGGACAAGACCATGGCGAGTCAGGCTGTCACCCTGCAGCCCATGGAGGTCCACGTGGAGCAGACATCCACCTGTAGCCTGTGGAGAGAGGACCCCACGCCAGAGCAGGTGGATGCCCAAATGAGACTATGGCCCTGTGGAGAGTCTGCGCTGGAGCAGGTTTATTGGCAGGACTTGTCAACCAGTGAGGGACCCGTGATGGAGCAGTCTGTTCCTGAAGAGGAAGGACCCACCCTGGAGCAGTTTGTGGAGAACTGCCTCCCGTGGAGAGACCCCATGCTGGAGCAGGGGAAAAGTGTGAGGAGGAAGGAGGAGCAGAGACAAAGTGTGATGAACTGACCACAATCCCCATTCCCTGTACCCCTGCACCGCTCCGGGGGAGGAGGTGGAGAAAATTGGGAATGAAATTGAGCCTGGAAAGAAGGGAGGGGAGGGGGAACTAATTTCCCCAAATTGAGTCTTTTTTTGCCTGTGGAGGTAATTGGTGAGTGATCTTTTCCTGTCCTTATCTCGATCCGTTTTTTTTCTTCCCTATCCAGTTGAGGAAGGGCAGTGATAGAGTGTCTTTTGTGGGCACCTGGCACCCAGCCAGGCTAAACCACAACACATTTCAATCAGAAAATACTATTTAGGAAATCTAATTTTTGTTAATCTTGCAAACAGAGTGTCACAACTGAAGTTTCAAACTCCTCTACCTGAAAATCTAAGCATATGTCAGCATTTAGACAGACTATAGAATGAGACTATGAATTGTAATAGTTCTATCTTTTTCACTCTACATATTTTGGCTATCTATATGACATTAAAATCCTGAAAATCCTTTGTCCTTCAATGTCTTTATCCAAGGCCATGAAAGTGATTGCAAAAGAGTATGTTAGCTGTCATAATTTTTGCTGACTAACCTTGAAACAAAAGGTACAGATGAATAGCAAATATTCTTCAAGGAAACACAATACATGGGTAGGTCATAAAGTCATGCACCTGCATCTCTGTGCTCTCCTATTCCATACATTAACTGCCTTACTAAAAGACCCCATTAAATAATGATGTTAAGCACTCAACTTCTCCAGCAGTGCAGTGGACTACTGACCTGTATAAGGAATTACTGTCCTTGTACCATAGAAAAATATTACAAGGAGGTTACCAAAACAATGATGTTCAAATGGAAAAGGTAACACTTCAGTTTCCTTTGGAACTTTCCCTTCCTTGTCACACAATCATCCCTATAGACTTCAGAAAAAATGGGGATGGTGTTACAAGTCCATGGCCTTTCCCAACCCAGAAGACTTGCAAGAGGTTGATTTTTACTGGAAAACTTTGTTCTGTTTCATTTGTTTGTGTAATACTTCTGCCCATTACAAGATATAATGAGAAGTAGGATTTTCAAATGGGACCAAAGAACTTAACTGTGCAAGTTCAATGACAATGTTTCAAGGAACTAAACACATACATCACTTCAGCTGTACAGAAGCTTTCTCACATTTTTTATTATATCCAAAATATTATGGAAGAAAGGGAAATCCAGGGACTCAGGGCTAAAAAAACCCAGTAAATTACAGATGATTAGACTAAAATCCCTTTTCTCTTTTTCCCTCTCACTTTCCTAAACAAAATTTTTCATAGAACTAAAACAAGACACCATATTCCATTTTAAAATTACTGTTTTCATGGGAATTTTTTTCAGGGATGGAATGCAGAATCTCTGCTTCTTCATAGCAGCTGTCTATCATACTGTCTCCTAGATCCACTTGTATGCCATTTGCACTCCTCATAAAACTTGGTGATCTCTTCTTGTTTGGAAGTCAAAGGAAGGGCAATGAAAGCCGCTATGAATTAAGCCTTTAGTTCCAATAGATACTGCTTGTACTTCATTTGAAAATTTTGACAAACAGGTCCTTCAGTCAAATGAGTTCACTTGAAAGCGACCTATTTCACTGCTAGTGTCTCAAGAGAAGAACACTGCCAGCATTAATACTGAGGTGTTTCTTTCAGAAAGTCAAGAGGATAGAATTATTGCCATTAGTATTGAAATCTTTAAACTCACTCTTCTCACTATACTTACTGAAACTTATCAAAATCTATTCAAATTCATTTGAATTTCTATTCGAATTAATTCTCTTTTTATGACTGTCAGTCCTTTCTCTGTCATTTGACTCTCATAGTGCACAATGCAATTAAATCATAGAACTGACTCCAAATGGTAAACATACACAACTCCTATTGAAGTAGATGAGAGAGAAGACATTCAGCACCCAATAAGAACAGGAAAAGAGTGAGTCAATATTAAAAAAATGATAACAAAATACATTAAGTGTCAACATTCCTTTCTTTTAGTTATAATTCTTATAATCATGAACAATAAAATTCAGTTAATTCTCTACAGATGCCCATTTTCCACCTAACATGTAGCCAATAATTCCTTTGAGAATTTTTAGCAAGAAAAGAGAGATGCAATTCACTGGAACACTGTAGCTTAATTAAGAAAAAAGCAAGCAACATTCTGTTAGTACGTAGTTCTTTTAAGATATAGCTAATGCTGCATTTAATAAGTTATGAGCACATTTACGGGGGGAGAAAAATACAATTATCCCAGTGCTAACTTGGGTGGACAGCCTGCAATTTTTGACTGTTAGGTAGTATTTGTGAAAGAAGAAATTGCAAATGAAATGACATTTAGGGTCAAATGCAGTAATTCATGAGTAGCTTTAGACCTTTCCCAGAAAATTCTTAAGTGGGCAGAATTCATAACAACTTCAATTACTAGTTCTAGCAAAAATCTGTCTCGTATTTACTTTTCTCTCTTCTCTCTGCAGAAAACCACATTTCACACAGTGATAGATGAAAATTTCAGGTCCTTTTCCTTTTGCTTGCAATGTGTATTTCAGTTGTATGTACGACAGTATATTTTCTTAGTCAAAGCTTTTGAAAAGGCCACAGTGTCACAAACAAATGCTTTCAAACGAAAAGCCAGTGGCTAACTAGCAAACTACACTCAAGAACAACTGCGTTTTAGAGGTCAGTCCTGCACTCAGTAGGACAGGTTCTTAGGCAGCGTGAATCTGAACAGCTCTTATCACAACGGTGCCACAACATTTTACACAGGCTGAAAATATCATGCTGGATTTCTCAAAGAATGCATAGAATAGGTTCATATTTTTAATGTGTCTATAGTAAAGACTTAACTACAGCCATCTTCACAGCATCCTTGAAAACCTCCAAAACAAATGCTGAGGTATGTAAAATAAAATACAAAGCAGTAGATGACAGGAAAATCAGATGACCTTTGTATTCTTCTCCTCCCTTCTCATAACTCAGAAGTTATGCAGGTGTCATCCATGCACAGTAAGCCAAGAAAGTTCACATTTTTCAGTACCAGTAATGCTGGATATCTGGAAAAATTCTTTTAATTGAAGTACATTTTAAGTGCATGAAAATTCTTCCAGAAATGTGCTTACCTCTTCCAGAGCAAGGTAAATTAGAATTTCCTCGGCATTTCTTAGCACTTTCCTCTACTGACAAGGGACAAGAACGTGGATGTTCACACTTCTTCCCAGTCCATCCTTCTTTACAGTCACACCTTCCGCAATTACACTGTCCATGACCTTTGCAATGAATACAATTAAAGATAGTACTACTGATAAGTATTAAAACCTCATGATTAGATGAACTTTATCAAAATTGTGGTTTCATTAAATAATCAGACTGGAAAAAAATACAATCAATTCATTGCATCTGCTTTTTTTCTGAAAATAGCACTGGTCTATCATTCCTTTTTGAGCCATAATTCCTTTTTTTTTTTTTCTTAAGGGATGTTTTGGCACTTGGCATACCTCATGTGAGAGGGTAGAATAGAGGTTACAAACATATATTTCACCACTGTCTGGAAAAGTGGGGCTGTCATAAGGAAATACTTCATTTACCTTTATGTTCTCTTTCTGCCACAGTTGCAGCATATTCTTTAAGCAATATATCAATACCATCTTTTATCTACTTGCAATCAATGTGATCCACTAGAGACACGCAATGTCACACCAATTCCAAGTCTCAAACCACTGCCTTCTACTAAATAGTGATGTGCAACTAATAAAATACTGGACATAAGAAATTCTCATTTCAATAGGGCAGTTGGATGTGGTTTTAGTATCTCATTAGCTAACTTAACTCTTCCTGATGATGTCTGAACATAGTAACATAAACGTAACTTTCACTGTGCAAGTTGAGGTGAGGAAGGACAACTGAACTCCATAAAAGATTTTCTGGAAAGTTGCTATTAAAAAAATGTGACATCCAAGAAGCCAAGAGTGAATCCCTCCTGAGAACTTAACCTAGAAAGCCATACAAACAACCTATTTCCTCTGTATGAATGTTAACATATCCAGACCCAGAAAAACCAAGCTAATTGCCCAGCTGTCTTCACCATGAGCCTATTGCTCTTAGAAGAAAGCAGTGGGAATCTGACAGTACAAAATGTTCCTTGCACTGGATGAGGAAAGTCTGAGCATCAGCAAAAACATTCCTTGCCACAAAATCAAATATTTATTTTTATGGGCTCTGACAGCAGGTTAGATTTTCTATCAAAATTTTCACATCATCATCATTCAGTGGACACAGGACCCCAAAGCATTGCTTCTATGTCCATTTGTCTATCCAGGTTCTTCTTGAAAACCATAGCAACACAGAATTTATATCTCTTTCTAATCACACTTGCATTTTAAGACTGGCTTATATCGTATTTCTAAAAGATATGTATTTATCAGTTCACAAGGAAACTTGAAAAGCGTTGAAGACTTCTTGTTTAGAGGGTAGATTTAGATTACTTACTAGGGAGAAATTCTTTACTGTGAGGGTGGTGAAGCACTGGAACAGGTTGCCCAGAGAAGCTGTGGATGCCCTGTCACTGAGAGTGTTCAAGACCAGGCTGGATGGGGCTTTGAGCAACCTCATCTAGTGGAAGGTGTCCCTGCCCATGGCAGGGGGGCTTGAACCAGATGATCTTCAAGGTTCCTTCCAACCCATACCATTCTATGACTCTATGATTCTGCATCTTTCTTTCATGTGTACCTGCTGACAGGCTGTGAATTGGACATACGTTCCCTAATCTGGAGAGATACCTATGAGAGGATGATGTGCTTTCATACAACATTTTCTTTGCTAGAGCCACAGCAAAGGAGCTAATGAGACGTGTGAATGTAGGAATTATATTATGGAAGTCTTTTTTCTCTCTATGTCAAGTCATGAAAGCTATTCTCTCTTTAAAGGAAGTGAATCACTTTAATGTTGCGAACACCTCTGAAAGAAAGTCATTCAGAAACATACTGAAGAGCACTTCAGATGTTAAAAGGCTGCATTTGGTTGCCAATATGAGATATTGCAAATTGACAGTCACCCCAAGCCATATGAAGCTTCTGGAGGGAGCTGCTGTTGTGTGCTCTTGAGTCCTCACAGCAGGGCTGTCAATTCCTGTCATTAGTAGCTTATGAAATAAACAAAGCTTTTCATTCAGTTATAGTAAAACTCTTTACATGTAAACATGGTTTCCTATCATTTCAGTTTGCTACTCAGGACAATGTGATATCCTGTCTCTACCTATTAGGAAGGCAGAACAAGACAGTAAAATTTTTGTATCATCAGCTCCATTTGATGCAGGTTTTAAGAGAGATGGATTATTTTCCCTAATCTGACTAATCCCTCCGGGATTCATGCTAAATCAATTTACAAGCAATTGTGAGAAAAATGAGGAAATTTTGCAGACATGTGCACACTTCGTGCACTAAGTAAATTTATTTCACATAAACCAAGAAAAAAGCTGTCCAATTACAATTCTGCTAGTAAATCTTTAATTGCAGATTCTGTCTGTCTACAACAATAAACCACAGTTAATACTTCTGCATCTTGTCCATTTCTGAAACAGGACTAAACAGGAGGACTATAAGATATTGTTCACGCTGTTTCACATGAAAATGGAGAGATTTGCATGACCTATTTGAGGAACAAATAATTGGATGGCCGCCTAAGGCTAAATCAGGCTTTTCTAAAACGTACAATTAAGAAATTTTACCAAAATTTTTGCTGATTAGGTAGAAAAACTAAGCTATACTTCAATGCGAGTTTTAGTTACATCAAACAAGCCATGAGTACCTCCTTTTGTATTTCTCATAAGGTTTGCTCACTTACAGTTATGCTTGTGTAACAAAGAACACTGCACCAGCCCATAATCCAATGTCAGATGGCAATATCTTCCCCTCAACTCCTTTGTAACCGTCCATGCTTTCTTACACTCTGCTTTCTACCACCTTTACCACCCTGGGCGGCAGCAGCAGTGGCAATACTGTCTGGGAAGGAGGGAATTTAAGCCTTGTTTCAGTGATGCAGCATTAGCTGTAAATGCCACAGGTTTGCTTTAATCAATGTAGGTTTGAAACTTTTGTGTTCACCCTTAACTACAAAACACATTTACTGTGTTGTTTTTTAACTTTGTGTTCCTTAGCTGATGCTGACATTTTGATCAGTCTCTGAGTGCTAAAAACGTACTCAGCAACACAGTAATACATTCAAATTTGACAACATCCCAACTCTATTCTCCTGCCGCTCTCATGGCTGTAGTTTTGCGTCTTTCCAGCTTATTAATTAAATAAACCTATATAACATTTGTAGGCAGCTGAAACAGTAGCAAGCAAATTAATTCACTGAAGGTTTTTAGAAATGCTTCGTTCTTTTTTCTCCCCACAGTTTTATTAGCTAGTGATTCATCAATATTTATTTAAGAAAAACAAATCCACAACAGCAGAGAAACGTTTCACCTTTGTAAGAGGCAAAGAAGAAGCTAAGAATTTTATATATCATGGTTTTTTAGCCTTCTCTCCCTCTTACAGACAACTCCTATGATCTTTCTGTGAGGGATCTCTCATTCTCGTGATGGGATTAGAATATAGCACACCACTACTTTCCTTGATATGACTGCATTCTTCCAATTATTAATTAGGCCAGATCAGATTTCTACAGGACGCATTAGAGCTGACAACCTGTAATCTGTCAAGTCCCTTTGAAACCACTCTCACTTGTTTTTGCAGAGTTCTTGTGTATACAAATTGCATGCTGTGTATTGATCAAAGCCCTTCTCTCCTGCCCAGTATTAGCATCTTTAGCAGTAACAACACAAAATTATATGCAAGGTCTTGCTCAGACTCTCAGCTGGTGTTAGTTGATACATGGAGCATCGGTCTAAATATACTGCAAACCTTGGATGCACTGGATGGACTTATTATTCAACTAATTTGAATATAATGCTCTGAAGTACAAGTAGAATTAAAAATCAAGGTAAAAGTGTCTAAGATGTACAGTCAGTGATGCGTAGCTGCACCACTCATTCGTATTTTCCACAGAATGATGCTCTACTCGTTCTCAGGTCAATTGGTATTCTCAGGGTACTGTTTTTCATTAACTCACTTTTCCTCTAATTTCTTCCTCTTGCTTGTCCTCTCCCTGCCATATAACATGACATAAGAAATAACAATTGACCCACAAATTTCCAAATTTAAATTTCTCCAAGGAAGGATATCTGTATTTTTTTAATTTTCAAGCATTCTCCAATTTATGTTAGACTACACTGAAGACAAGACTATTAGAAGGCAGATGGGCACCTAAAAATATTTCATACTTACAGAATTTTTGTAAAAGGCATGGAAAAAAAGACATGTTTTAAGCAGGCTTTAGAATGGGAAACATTTTTTTTCACAGAATTATGTCTTTTAATTTAAAAAATCCAATCCCAAATAAACAGCTAAAGCGTGGTATATTTTAAGCTACAAAAATTGGAGTACTAAAGAAGAGCACGATCAGACCATTTGAATGCTTTTGTTCTAAAACTAGACATAAGTTCCTTTTATATGTATTATTTACCTGAACAGAAGTCATCAGAATATCTATCGTACACTGCTTTGCAGTTTCTTTCATCGCACTCACAAGTATCTCCATGAATATCTCCCCAGTCACCAGTTGGGTCCACATCATGGCATGTGCATTCCCCACACACACATGTGCCTAGGAAAGAGAAGGAAAAAAAAAAGATGAGAGAGACAAAGGTAGAATAGTAACTGAGCAATCTGAAGTAATAGTAGTTTGATTACAGGAATTTACACCTGTGAATTTTCTGCCCTCACAGGAGTGCAATGTCAAAGTTGCAAGTGTTAATCACGAGTGTATGCTCATCTCCTATGATTTAAAATCTTCTATGATTGCTTAGTAGTAATAGTAATAAAATAGTTGGCTTTCTATTCAAGTTTCTTTTTGCTGTTGAGTCTTGCCAGGAATCAACAGGAAAACACAGCGCACAGAACAGTCGTAAATCTTTGACATCAACAGTAATTTGCCCTGTCACTAATGACAATAAAAATCAGTGCTGTTTAAATGACTTGGACTTGGGCACAGTGGATAATTAAGGATTGTTAAAGTATAAACATTTAAACTAGCAGGAAATGCAATTTCAAATCCAACTGAAAATGCCTAGGAGGTGATTCTCTACCTAAGCAGAACGTCCGCACAGATCTACATGACAACCATACATTTTCACTTTTCCCAAGTCAATACTCAGGGTCACACCCTGGTGTTTGCAATAAGAAGGGAAATACTCATTGGGCACAGCCTTAACAATATACAGAGAATATGCATCCTACATACTTAGGAAAAGTCAGAACAAAAAAAGACATTCTCCTTATTTAGAAATCCAAATATGCTTCAGGGCCATAGACTCACTACTTTTCCTGAGATCTCAACAGGCACAAAGAAGCAGCCTAACCTTACAGATGCATGCAGTTCATTTCCTGGGGAGTAACTTCACCTTCTGCTACTCCACCATAGCCTTTGTCTTGTTATTCACATTACTCTGAACAATAAAATGCATTTGAGGACAACAGGGCAACATGACTAAAGAGTACATACAGGTATGGGCACATTCTCTGAAAAGAGAAGGCCTACACAATCATGCATGTGTGACCGTTACATGAAGTGGCAAGAGCTGTTTCCCTGTTTAGTGCTAAAGCCACCAAGACTGCGCTCAAGAATTTTGTACTTGGTTCTTTATACTTTCACAATTCAGTGACACTACTGAAGGAGAAGAAAAAAAAACCCAACAATAAGAAACCACAGAAAATGAGACAATTACTCTGGAGAGTGATTAATCGTCCCAGAAAAAAACTTTAAAGTGAATTTGGATCATCTGTCCTGGATAGCAGAATGCAAAACATCATCTCATCAAAGTTTTAAAAATCTGAAGGTTCACATCTGGTCTTAGCTGGTTGACTAGACAGTTGGTGGAAAAATATAGACAATATGTCCATCTTAGCACTGAAGGAGGCTAAACAGCAAGGTTAGCCTTGATGTTTAATTTTTAGAAGGCTCAAGACTGACAAGATGAACTGCACCTACATCACAAGATGTATAAACAAAGATAACTGTGTAAATAGGACTAAAGAGAGTAGAAATACTGTGTTGGAAAGCAACTTTATGTAGTCAGAAGCCTACAGAACTTTTGTGTGGATAAAATCACAAATACATGAAAGACTAAAAATATAGATATATGCCAGGAATGCATCTTTGTATAAGAGATTGTAGCTATTCAAAATATCAGCTATACTATTTATCCTCATTGCCCCCAACTACAGTTAAAGAAATACTTGCACATTAATATCTGAAATTTGAATAAGAAATTGCTTTGACAAGAAATTTCTTTCTCGGTGCAAACAAAACATCTGATCTGAAGCCACCTCGATATTTATTAATTCCAGAATTACATAAACTTTTTCACTGTTCAGGTCCCAAGACTAAAGAAGTGTACATGATCTCTGTATTTGAATCAGTCTTTCAAATTCCTCATAATTAAGCAAAAAGAGTTTTCTAAATGCTCTCAGGATAATTAGATGTTCACGTTATAGCAGGTTTTACCACTAGATATGTTTTTAAGAGAGGAAACAGTGACTTGCACTTATGTTCTACCGTAATTATTCTGGACTATTGCCAAAAAAATAAGTTTTTTTAACTCTTTGTTCAATGAAGCCAAATATAGCAGCTAATAAAAAGCAACCTTATTATATGGCAAAATGAGACATAAGCGTAACGTAAAATTAAAATTCTGGAAATTTGTGCAAATAGAACTTCATGTAGTTAGAAATACTGTGTGAAGTCTACCTTTCCAGCTTTGTATGCATTCCATAGCATTGTTATTGAACACTTCTTAGTTGTTTTTTCACTTTGCAGTGGAAACAAAAAGCTTTGTGTTTCCATTTTCCCTATTCATTTGTGGGTCCTTGGTCTTTAAGAGTGCATTGACATACAGTGCTGCTGGCCTTGCAACAGCAATCCACTCAAAGTCAAAAATCTGCTAATATGTTGTTTTGCAGGACAGGTCTCTCACCAAAGAAGATGTACTGACAAATAATCCTTCCCAGTCTTACTGCAAAAATGAGGATGAGAACAACTTGGGTTGGCTTAATCTAAAAACAGGTGTGGATTTGTGTAAGTCTATACCTAAACACAGTTACTTACCCCACTCACTTGGAAACATATCCAGATCTGAAATAAGTGAGAACAAACCAGAAACTATCAGCAAACACAACCTCTGTCTTAGTGCAGAAAATGCATATTGTAAAACTAACACAACCTATATAAATATGCGTAGAAGGAACGTGCAAATGACACACCTCTGTTGCTGCAGATTTTGCCATCTGGAGATGTGCATCTTTTCTTGATCTCCCAGGGGGTAATGTCACACTGGAATTCACATTTATCTCCATGCCAACCAGCCTCACAGTAACAGTTTCCACAGTAACACTTTCCATGGCCTTAATCCAAAACAAATTTTATACAGTGAGAAAGAAGCAAGTTTTTAAAAGGCATTAACTATTTAACTGGTTTGATCTTTTATTTAAAAAACTTTAAGTGCTAGACTCAGAATAGAAACAACTTATAAACTGTATATGCCTACATAAAATAAAAGAAAGGATCTCTGCGTTATACTTTTCGCTGTCTGTTTTAGAACAAGTTTTCATTTAATCACAGATCTCTAATCAATAAGCACTAAGAAAATAACATCAATATTTTTATATTTGTAAGCTTAATTTTTGAAATGTTATAGGTAAATTTGGAAGATGGTAAATGTAACAGCTAAAATTTAAGCACAGCTTTAAATGTTAAGATATGACACACTTGCCCACTGTACTGCATGTCGAAGATAGCATTGTGTGTTCTTGACTCAGATAATTCCAGCACTGGAAACTTGATTTACTACAAACTGTCTACACAGTGTATGGCTTCCCATCTTACCTGTTGAGACAATTTTTGAACATGGATAAACCAGTTCATGAAACATAAGAACTAGTAAAATGAAGCTTTTAGATGTTTGTTTAACAAACCACACATCTCCTGAAAAGATAGTTGGGTCGTCTGAGGCTTCATGAAACTGGCTCCTGAACATTTTGATCCACTAAGGTACTTCTGCCATGTGCTTCAATGACACAGAGCATTTAAATTAAGTAGCTGCAACTCTTACTATTCTTAAAGCCATAAGTCAATTCTTTACTAGAAGGATCTTGTCCTTTTTTCCTTCTAGGTATGTCAAGCTTAGTAGACCAGGTTGTCTCTATCGAAGTCTAGTCAACTTATAGCCAAAGCTATCAAGAGCACAAATTTAGACCTGTGGACTAAAATTTTTTCCTGTTTTTACAACTACAGATGGAATTTTCATTACAATTGTTTGGTTACATGTGAAAAAATAGTAGAAGACAAAAATAACATCTTACTCAGATAACCAAACAACAAAAAGGGTCTAAAATATTGCTTATCACCAAAAGGTTGTTCTTGAACAGTGGACAAGAAATATAGGGAAAAGTGGTGAAGGAGTAAATTAATTTGATCTACTGGAAATTTTTGCAGATTAAAACATCACTACTTCATTCTTCACTCACACTTGTATAGTCCCCAAATGATTTACATTATACAATTTGCCACTACCTCTTGCCCTTGACTGAAGACACAATCACTCCATTAGAGCAAAAAAGTCTTAGATAAAAAAAGCTGAGGATCAGAATTTAATTTGCTATAAAACATGATACTTTATTAAAAATAAGCTGCAGCTTGATTCCAAAGTTTATGTAACCTCAAATAAAAAGTGATACATAGTCAACTGACTGATAAAAATCTAACTGAGGCTTCAAAAGCTTGCTATAACTTTGTAACTCTGCCCTACCTAAGAAGTGAATTGCTTAAAAATTGCAGTCCCCTTGTGCAAAGATTAAAATGCATGTTATCCATATCTCAGCATGGCATTGCGTGCTTTTCCAGGACGAAACCCCAGCTCACAGCTGCTGGCTTTAGAAACATGTGTGTAAACAGAATCTTTTGTTTTTTCATTGGTTTGATCCTCCTGAGTTGGCTTTCTTTGAAGACAAAAAAACCCTCCAAAACCTGTCTATACCTTCAAGGACAATCAAGGGAATGTAGCAGCTAAGTAGATGCTACACAAACTGTGAAAATATAACAGGTACTGATGGGGTTCACTTTGTCTGTGGAGAGTACCCATGGGCCATTTCTCACTAAGCAGAACTATATTGGAATGCCATTTTATTATTACTTAATAAAAAAAACTAAATTATTTCTGTGGTGGAAATTCTGTGGAAAGAAAGACGGGATAGAGGGTATCAAAGGAGACATCGGGATGGGAGAGAGAGGCCATAACCGGATAGGCATGTGGAGTCTTATTTTTCTGTGATGACATTATGTACTTTTGACCTTCAGTTCATATGCTGTCCATTTTTAATGCGTAAGCCCTGTTTCAACGTGTGGTTACGCACTGCAGAGGTTTGTTAGAAAGTAAAGCAAAATCTAACACTGACAAGCTACATGCGTAAGTTTTTCAGGTTGCAACCTAACAAAGCCAACCACACCACTAGTTTGTACTTTATATGTACTTTCGAAGGCTCCAAACCTTACATAAGGTATCAGAGCTTTTTATACTGATGAATCACAGACCTTAGAGACTTGAATCTACCATTTTTTTTTGTCCTTTTCCTTCTGCATACTTTGATTTCTGCACATGCATAAAACTAGTTTTTTGCAGAGATGCATCTGGTCTGTTTTGGAATATGGCACCATTAGATGAAACAAGGGGAAATAAAAGCAAAGAAAAACCTAACTTTATTAACCAGCATCAGCACAGGTGGGGGAAAAAAATATGAAAAAAAAGAACAGAAGGAGAATTTACTGGAACTAAATAAACAATATATTTTTACCATATTTGGTAGCATATGTAATGGTTACAAGTAAATAAATGGAAATGGGATCATTAGCATGTAAAAATTATTGCCCTCCACTCATTTTATTTTAGACAATTAGTGGAAATATTGTACTCTGCTGCTGGATTTGGACTTCAGAGGACCATTCTGTTTACCCTCATTTAAAATCCCTATCTAATCCTGTGCAAAAAAAGTTCTTTTTCCTTCAAATGCAATTTAATAAGTAGAAAATAATTTGTTCTTTGTGTAAGGATAAAGACAGACAAAGCTATTTTACACAAGTACTATCTCTTTATACACGCACATGCAGACCATGCACTATCAGGGTATGAATAGCCTAAAAGCAGTTCTGAATCCTCCTGTAGGCATACAGACACAGTGTGCATGTGTATAGCTTGATAAATATTTGTAGCATCTTATAGCTCAGGGACAAGCCTCCTTAGTAATACAGGCAACAACATTTATAAGGCCATAAATGGTATGTAGTACACAGTATTTAATTGCCAAATTCCTATCTTGTAATGAAATGGAAGCACAGTTTGAGTTTTGGTTGCTTTTCTATCTGTCAGCAGCGTTCACTCCATCTTATTCTCTTATCTTTCCTATCACAGGTGAAATTTTCTTCATTCATTCCTTTCCCTTTTTATCTCCTAAATTGTTTCTCAGTTTTCATCCTGCTTCTTTCTAATTTTTACTTCCTTGCCAAAATTCTTAACAATATATTTTTCTTTTGGTTTTTTTCTGTGTCCTCCATCTTGCCCTCTTCTGTGGCAAAAAGCATTCACATTTTTTGTAACCTGTCAAAGACAAACACACTAAGCTATGAATTACCTTAGTGAATTACCTTGTATAACCCTCTTTGCAATTCTTCAGAAAAGAGGAGGATGTCATAGGATTTCTTCCTTTAACCTCCTGCTTAGCTCATTTTTGTATCTGAAATTCCCACTTAAAACTTACAAGCTAAAATCTTGCAAGTATAGTTTCCTTTATTTTAAGTCCTACATTCAGTAAAGACATTTTGGAGGTCCGTACAGTTAAATGATTTTCTAACACCCTGTATTAATCTTCACTGTTCTTCTTGTACTCCCTGAAATACATACCTGTACAAATCTCGTCTGTCTCATCATCTATGCATTCTCTGTCATCACATTCACAAAATTTACCATAGACCAGTCCATTTCCTTCTGGGTTTGCACATTTACACCTGCCACACTGGCATGTGCCTGTAAACATTTAAGACAGTAGTCAATGACTGTAGTTTACGGAAAGAGTTTGATTAGTCCATCAAAGATGGTACATACCTACTTTGTTTCTGAGAAGGCTGAAATCTAATGATCATCCAGCCAAATAGACACATAAACAATCCATATCGACAAAAAGCCTAATCTTAGCTGTAAACAGACACGACATTCAAGTGGTTCTTTCTTAATAAGCAGCGTCATACTTTCCTAAGTAAAATTCACTCCTAGAGTTGTCTCTCTGGCTTCATTCACCTGAGGTGTGATGTCAGCTTCGGAAATTTTATATTCTGCCTACTGAAAGGAGAAAATTTAACTTAGTTATTTTCTCAAGAATGGAGCCTGGGTTTGTCCAGTTCCACAGCCATGTTACATGAGAGTAACAGGGCATGGCTACCGACACCTGAACATATGTCTGCCCAAGTTCACAGACTTCCTTTGCACTCCAGTCTCCAGGCCCATTTCTACAGTTACCATCTGAGGACCAAGATTTAAAAAGTTAAGCCTTGGAGAAAAAGACAGGAATCAAAGGAAGGAAACATTGATGACAAACATCTGCATGAAGAACTTATGATCAGATGTCAGGAAAAAAGGACACAATCTAGAAAGCAATTACCACAGCAATACATTAATTGTCAAACAGACAAGCTAATTGCGGAGAAACATATTCATAGCATCATTAAACAAACTGTACAAATTATAGTAGCATATTAACAATTTTACTGCAAAGTGTGTGTTAAAAGCATTAAACAACTAATTTTATGGTATTTACTAAAACTCTTGATAGTATTTTTTATTCATATTTTAATATCATTTTCACCACCCACCTGCCATTTGCACACCAATAGCTTTTTTTTCCCCAGTGATATTCTACATTACAAGTTATATCATTCATTTGAAGAATTGCAGAAATGTCTATAATATCATCTTTTTACTTCAGGACTTTGGTGCAATCTAACTTTCAGCATTTAGGGCTCATTTTTCTTCAGTTTGTGGGTGATACCTCAGAAAAGAGCAGAACTTGCAAGAAAGATAAGAGCTATAATAGACACTTGCTAGTTTGCCACAAGTAGGATGGGTTTTACTCATGTCAGACCAGTGAGTGGTTTGACAACTTGGGTCTGCCTGAGATTCTCCCTCAAGGCAAGTACCCCCAGGATTCCCAGATGCTTTGGAAGGTAGAGCTGGTTTTTCTCACAACATAAACCAGAACTGAAAACTTCCTGACATAAGGAAAAGCCAGAGAGATGCAAAGGGTAGAAATGGGTATTTAAACAGATCTTTCTTCTACCACCTCTGGTCTGGTTGCACATTTGCTACTTGGTCTTTTGAGTAGGGTTGCCCCCTCACCTCGGTGGCTGCCTTTCTAAAGGACCCACCCTACTAATCAAAAAAAAGTTTATTTAATTGCTCCCAGAGAAGGAAGAATCCCTCCTTTTCCTTCAGAAAGTCTATCTGACATCGAGTGCAGTTGCCAGGGCAAGTTACCTTCTCCTTCTCCTTCAGAATATTTTCTAGCTTGCAACATAATGCATGATAACATATAACAGCCGTAAATATACATGTTAAGGAGTTATAGAGTCAAAAAACAAAAAATACCATAAAATCACTTCAGAAAAAAATGTATTACCATGTCAGCTGTATAACGCATCCCTATTCCCTACTTCTATCACCTTCATTAAAATTGTAAGAGTAGGAACTTTGTGCAATACAATGTTAACTGGGGCCTTGCGGTCATCGGGCTTGCACAAGCTGTTTCAGCAGTCACTGGCATCATATGTCAGGAAGTATAAATTTAAAATAAAAGGAACTTAATTCACAAGATTCATACTCCTCACTTTACATTCATACATCTTCTAGCAAACATGGTTATTGACAGAAAAAAGCCCTCCAAAATAGAAGTTTTATGCTGATATTACACAACTAGTTTGCAGAAACCATTTTACATTTCACCATTACAAGTGCAGTACAAATTTTACTAAACATCTTATTAATCCAAACAAAGAACAGAAGAATAGAGCTCTGCAACACACATGGCCAATCTAAAAAAAAAGTGAACTTGAAAAACATTTGCAAGAGCTAACATAATAAAATAACAACAATACAACTGATAACGTAAGTTACAGAACTAGAATTATTTGCTACAATTAGTTGGAAAATAACTATAAACAAAAATATTGAGAAAAAATGTCTTGTTTACAGATAATTCCCAAACAGGAAAAAAGATAAAATGGTAAATTGATTCATAAATTGGGCATCTAAAGAGGTTCAGACAAACTGTGTCCTAAAAGTATCCATTCCTTCCCATCGACTAGAAGTGGAAATTGCTTGCACAGAGAATCTTGGTTTAGGTAGGATGCCTTAGTTGCTCTGACAAATGATTAGCAACAGTTCTGTCAGAAAAGTTAAATTTTAGCTAGATTTTTGTTGGTTCATGAAAAGAAGTACAATAAATGCTTCACAGTGCAATAAATGCTTAGCTGTGTGATGGCAGAGGGCTGGTTTTGCAACAGCTCATGTCATCGCTTCCGTTTTTTGGGCAATTGAAAAACAGAGCTCAGATCCCAAAGGCAATGTTGGCAGTGGATTGAAAGGCAATCCCGTCAAGACAAAATATGTATAGTTGCAGCCCATCAGTTACCCCAAACTTGCCACCCAGTCTCACTGGAATTCCTGTCCTGTCTAACACCAGCAATACCATAAGCATTTATTCTTCTACTGATGTCACAAACACTCCGCTTTTAGCCACTTGAAGTGGTTGTTCAGCTATGTTGGTTTTCCTGTGAAAACTCAGTGATAAACAGACTGAGACCACTTCTAGTGAAGGAAAAAAAGAGAAAAAAAGGTCTTAACATTCTTGTTTAAGTACTTTGACCGATTGCAATGAGCTATGCTTATTTTTGAGAGTCTTTTTCTCATTTAGGTGTCTCTCATTTGTTAGCCAAAAATCATGAGTTTCATACAATCTATATTATTGTCATAAATGAAATGTTTTATAAATGAAATGTATCACTCAGTAAGCCGCATGCTTACAATTTTACATTAAATTGTTTTCACTTCTTGTTGTGAGATCCTAGCTTCTGTGTAAAAAGTCCCACAAATCCTTTTGATTCTTCGCCCATGTCAGCAACTACCTTGTGAGAAATTTAGTTGTATGAAAATGTATAGACGCAGACAGAAATTAAAGGCCAGCAATAATGAGCAGAGGTGGGGTTCTTGAAACATTCTCTCCCTTGGAGATCAAGGTAATGGAAAAACTGGAAGGCAGCTTCTGGTCTCAAACCTTGGCTGGTAGCAAATGCCCCCCAAAATTTTACCATTGTGCAGCGAAGGCTGTTTGTTCTTTTTTAAAAGGCTGTTTCTTTTTCCTTTGATATTTTTAAGGAGAGGGCTTCCTATTTACTTTAGGATGAGTTATAAAATTAAAGAATTAGAGAAAAGAGAGTTACAAAATCAGAAAAGTGAAGATGGAAGTACCCTATTAAAATGATTCATTAGATCTTCCACAACTGTTTTTAATAATCATTGTTACAACTCAGAATTGTGTCCAAAACTGTAGTTTATAAATGTCCTAAAAAAATATTTGCAAATGTCATTTCTGCATGCTATAAACACAAAAAAAATGACTTCACTTTCTGTGTTAATGCCATTACCACAACCTTTTCATGGCCAAAATACATCACACAGCCGTAGTTTCATTAACCTAAAACAGCTATGGATAAACTAGAGTACTAACGTAGGCATTCTGAATCCGTGCACATCATATGCACAGGAATAGGCCTAGAGCAAAACTAAGCATTTTAGTACACATACAGTTATTTCTCAATCTCTTGAAACATAGCCTACATAGTTGCTAATTACAAAAGAAAATACAGTGATCCTTAAGATAATACAGGGAGAACATCCAGCCTTCAAAAGCAACAAAAGACATCTTACCTGCACCAGAACAGATGATATCTTGAGAATTCTTACACATTTCATTGCTTTTCTTCCGTGTAAGATTGCAAGTAGTTGGATACTGACAAGCTTCACCATACCATCCTTCATCACATTTGCACTTCCCACAGTCACACTTCCCATGGCCTAGCAATGGAAGCAAAGAGTGTGTCGAGTCCTTTTTTTTATTCAGAAAGTGATAATTTCTGATCCAGCTTTTAAAATAGATTTCCAACAATTATCTTTTTAAATGAATATGATTAAGAGATTCACTTAACATAGTTCATATGCAGTTAAAAATAGAAACGAATAAATATGATCTTAAATATGAGGAGACACCTGAAATCACCATGACTGTGAAATCTAGTGTATGTTATTTTGATAGATCTACATATGAATGCTTATTTTAAGAAGGAATACAGAACTAAAACATCCTGTATGAACAACGGACTTTATTTCATCTCTTCTCACTCCCGTATTTGGCTACTGTTAACTATTATTAGCACAACAAAATTCCAAATGCAGAGACTCCATTGACTCTGTTGGCCAGCTGTAGGCAAAGAACACCTAGAAACTGCAGCCTGAGGATGCAGGATTAGCTATTATGATACAAACCCTGAAAAGGAGCGTGGAGTGGGCCAGCTACAGCAGCAAGCAGTAACTCCCTCATGCAGCAGCAGCTGCAGCTCCTGCCTCTACTGAAAGGTTCAAATCCTTCATCCTGAAGCCTCCTCTGGCTACGAGTTCCTCCAGCCCTCTCCCATCTGCTTAGACTCTACTTGGCTGCTGCTGCAAAACTGAATGTTATCTTTAAATATTGACACAATGTTAATAGTGCAGTATATTTTGCTACTCAAAGGAGTATATTTACTTGCAATTATTTGCCAAGTGTGAAGTATCTTAAAGACCCAATGCAATGATAGAAGGGATCATAATATTTTCTAGTTGTTAGTAGTTTTTATTATTACAGTTTGTATTCCTGAATACATAGTGATCTAATGATGTAGCTGTTATAATAATTCCTGTTTCTATTAAGGAATGTAGTGGGTGAATGTAGACAGAAGTTATCATTCTAAGTTGTTAAGACAAAATAACTAAGTCAAACAAAAGAAATCTTGGTCCTCAGCGAATAATTGGGATAAGTGTAGGATAAAAGAGACTCCTAAATAATTCTACTCCAGACAGCACGGCCTTGGGAGGACAGATACACTAAGCTACAGAGATAAAGAGGCACCAAGAGGGCAACAAGACCAGAGCAAAACAACCTGGAAGGACATGGTACATATGATCTTAGAACTCAGTTTGCACAGAAAGAAAGGTCAACCAGCGGACACTGGGATGAGGAGTGTAAGCCTTCATCTTAGGACCCCCAAAGACCACCCAAGAATGCTAACTGACATGCATGAAAGACATTAACATATGCTAATTAGTGCTCATAAAAGTCATGAATATGCTAAGCTTTTCTCAGAAATATAATGAATATGTGTCTTGTGATTGTATTTAACCTGAAATGACAGGGTGTTTGGCGCACACATTTGGAGGAGAGATCCCCCATGTGCCTGGCACTGTAATAAAGGATACCTGCTTAACAGTATACATTGTACTGTTAGGTTTTTACCGGATCTTTGAATCCAAGGCTGCTCAATCCATTAGGACATGGTATGCTAGCCTTCAATCAGTTGAATAATACATTGCTTTAAAATTGTAATATATCTAATAGCATGAAGAATTATAAAAGTAAGGAAAGTTTAAGTTTTTAAAAATTCTTTAGTTTTCTTTAAAAAAACCCAAATAGGCAGTTGAATTGGCAATATACACTATTTACGTTGCACACTGAATTCCAGGTGCAAATTTCTATCTCTTAATTCCTTAGCTTCCCTTTACAATTTTGGGTAGTAGATGTGAAAACATTTGCAAATCCTTTAAACTAGAATACTCAATTTTAAAATAAATATCATTTTAGTGTATATCTTGACAGAAGAAGGTTCTTTTCCAATCACTACATCACAAAAAATAGAATCTTATTGCAGTCTATTTTAAGTGCTTCTGTTGCCTGAAATTAGAGTCAACTGCCTGAAAATACAAGCCTAGTCTGCTGCCAATAAGGAGGAATTTAATTACTATTGTAAATAGAAAATTTTAAAGAGGAAGAGAAGTATCTTTTGTTGCTCAATAAAATTTTGTTTGCCTTCCAAGATGGTCCTAAGACAAGAAACAGTTCAATAGCTGAAAAAAATATAGTTCAAAAACATACGAGAGAATCATGTTAGTTCTTGTTTTAAAACAAGAGTTGCGACCTTAAAAATTGCTGACTAACTCTCTGTTGGTAAAGGACAGAGAAAAAAGAAGTAGGATATATAACACGTAACAAAACCCACTCTCGTGATCACTCTGCTTCACTGACAGACGACAGCATAAGCCACTCCAGAAAATGGTGATAAGTTCTAGGATAGCTTAAAAAAACCTAAAGACAAAACATAACCATCTCCCTATTTTCCTTCCTTTCAAAGACTGCTTATCATAATGACTTTGCATTTTCCATGTTAGGCAGTCTTGTGATTTAACAGTTTGATGCCTGCTGGTGAAGAAAAGATGTTCTAATAGAAGGAAGACTGATTTTCCTGTCCCCATGTCTAGATGACAGAGTAAGGCAGAAGTCACTGCTGGTTAGTACTGATGGTCCAGCAGCACTAACCTCTCGCAGTTAAGAGCGGCATTAATCTAACATACGGTGCATAAAGGAAAAAAATTATTTCATTTAAAATTCATACAGCCTTCTTAAAGAAAATTAATAAAAGACTTCCATGAGAGTAGCCATACAGAACAGTTTCTTGACTTTATTTAACAGGAAAATACAAAAAAATGAAATTAATGAAATTAAACTGAGACATAATGGAAGATCTCTTGTGTGCAACTGAGAGCAACTATGAGGAATTTAACTAATATGAATTGTATGAATGATTTTCACCTTGACCACACCCTTAAAATAGCCTAATTTTTACAACTGTATATTTTTTAGTTGTAAAACTATGGCTATATTCTGCCCAAAAACTGTCAAACCCCATCACCCAAAGTGTACAAGGCCATAAAACTGCCTGCAATAGCTTATATAACTCATTGTATCTTCCCTGACACACAGATGACGCAGTAGATCTGCAAGTCAGTTTGACTTAGTAATCTTCTTCTTGTTAATTTCCCATGTGCACATGTACCAGTCCTATGGTCTTCATCATGGCAAAAATAGTCATGTGTTGATCTATAAACCAAGTATGTGATAAGCTGTAAGAAAACTGCAGAGGATATAAAAAATTTCTAATTGGTTTCAGATTGCTTTCAGAAAGGTTTGTGTAGGATCCCTTTTGTTGTATATAAATTTCTGTATTATTTAGAAAACAAGTAATATTATGAAATAGTAACTAAGGAGTAAATAGTACTATGAAAGCCACAAGCTGATACTGTAACTTCCCAGAAAATAAATTCCACCAATAAGGGGTAGACCCGGGTATCTGAGGATGTCACACATAATACAAGAGAAGTGAGCTACAAGACCTTATTAAATAGTTGGTAAGAAAGCTGTATCTCACAGTAAATGATGACAGTCATTCCATTTTTTTAAAAAATGGCTGTAACTTGAATGAATGCAAAACATAAACAAATCAGAATATCACTTAAAAAAAACAGAAAATAAGGGAAACAATGAAGACTCAAGGAAGTGCTAGAATTCCTTTAAGAAAAAGTCTGTGGCTGTGGGCTGTGAAAAGCTTGCAGCTTCAACACGTGGAAAAACATTTTATAACAAAGGGCTCCATTTCTAACTAGACGAGCAGTCACCTCAGAGAGTATATCTGGAGTATTCAGAAAGATTGTAGGGTGGAAAATTAAACAAATATGCAAGGAAATGTCTCAGATGTCAGAAAATACATGGAGAAAGTAAGAACAGAAAATGTCAGGCAGAGTCAGATCTTGCAAAATTGCAAGTACTAAAATGTACTTTCATCATCCAAATAAAAAGAAAACAGGAAAAAGAGTGGCTTTACCAAGCAGCAAAAAGCAGTTAAGATTAAAGATAATTTACAGACTGTCCAAAAAAAAACTAATATGGGGATGTAGTAGCAAATGCAGTGTGGCTAATGATACAGACTGTGGAAATGAAAATTACTCATCTAAGATGAGAACAAAACAAAGACATAAAATGTTTTTAAGGAAGTGTCTAGACCAGGAGGGCGAGACCCCATAATCTCCACTCGAGAGTACTTACAATACTTGCACATGAAAGGCCAGTTTAATAACGAAGACTTTTAATGAATCTATCAGGCTGACAATCAAATGCCTGAAAAATAAAAAACCTAACACTTTTTTCCCTTTTAGAAAAACGGATGTACATGATCCAGACAGCATAAAAACAAGTGGCTCTGACCTCCTGAGCTGTGCAAGGATTTAAAACAAATTATGAAGCATTGCATAGCAAGAGACACTGAGGTGATGAAAAATGGAATATAATGAATAACAGCTTTGTCCCAAAATAGACCATCATTATGCCAAATGAACCTGGCATCTCTCTTTATAAGATAATTGATTTTTTAAGTAAAGGAACACAGGAAATCTAGCCGATATGATAATATATATTGGATACAATGCCTCTTAGGAAAAAAAAAATATTCTGGATAAGATACTCTAGAAATGTAAAAGAATCACAACTTGGTTTAAGGGAAGGAAAAAACATTAGGACCGAAAGGGATATTACTGAGATAGAAGCAGATTACTGGCAATGTTTCAAAGGATGTTTTTGAAACCAAAAGTGTTTTACTGATATTGATACCAAAATTCAGAGTATGCTAACGACATTTGCCAATGACAGAAATCCGTAAGTCCTCAGTAGAAAGGTGAAGATGGAAAATCATACAGAATGAACTGGACTAAAAGTCTGAAGCACTGAAGTAATAAAAGTGGATTGAAACTAGAAATGCAAAGCACAGAGTCACACACCAGGGATAAGGAAAGGATGCCATAGGCTAAGACCTCCCCAGTTGAAAACAACAAGAAGAGCCCAAGTGTATACTCATGCCAGCTGTGGAAATGTGGTGTTACTAAGTCTTCAGCTGAAAAGGATCTGAGATGTAACCCTTGAAGATATGTCAGTAAGGACA